GATACATACATATACACACACACACAATATTTTAAAAAGTTTGTGTTAATGATTGACGAAAAAGATGATTTATCATGTGGTCAAACACTGACCTTCGTACCATATAAAACCATACTTAAACATAATATTTAAGGATATGAATTGTAGTTCAGCAGTAGATCCTGTTCAGTATTAACGCTGGGAGGTGAGAAAACAGGTGATAAGAGAAAAACTGAGCTCACAGGTCAGGTGAATTATTCACTCAGCCTCTCTCAGTGTCCTGTCAGAGGATCTGTCTTCACGTTAAGTTTATGACTGGGTCATTTTATTATCATTGATAAAAAGAGCTTTGTAACAGTAGTTTTGGGATATTTTTTAATCTCAGTTATATGCTACACCTTAACCAGCAACAAAAACTCTTAGTTTTTTTGTTAATATTTTGAATTAGATTTTATTTTTATATTTCCTGTTTTGATTTTAGTTAAGGTTTTAGCAATTTTGTTGTGCTTTTTGTCATTTTTATTAGCTTTAATTGTTATATATATATATATATTTTAAATGTTTTAGTTTTAGTTACTTTAATACTTCCAAGTTCAACTAAATGAAAACGAGAAATGTTGCAATGACAACTAGCTGAAATAAAATAGGTTTTTTAGATTTTATTTCAGTTTATGTTTATTTTAAGTAATGAAAAGGTTGTTTTTTATGGTTTTAGTTACTGATAAAAACCCTGGTTCATGCCCAACTCCTTTCAGTGTCTGTGTTTTTTTCCTCCCTTTTTCATTTGCTTTTTCTTTTTTTTTTATGTAACATGTTGCAGCAGTAAAACCTCTTCCTTGATTCTTCTGGTCTCCACCCAGGTCCATTTGTCTCAAAGTTTTTGTTTGGGGTGGAAACATTTGCTTATTATTTTCTGCAACATTACAGAGTGTATGAACACATTAAAGATGTCTGCTAACAAAGATTATGCTGGCCTTTTTTTTTACTTGCTTTGCAAATTTTCCCTGACCCCCACCATGAAAAAAACACATATATTTATATTATACTTTTATTACTTTTTAATGTTAAATTATTGCAGTGTTTTTCATTAAAATAATTTTCATGCATTTTTCATATTATTTAATATAAAAATAATTTTAAAAGTCCATACATATTTTTCATTGTTTATTATTATAAAATCAATATTTTTTTTTAATACTGTTGTATTTACACTGTGCAATAATAGTTAGAATTATTACAGTTGTAATGTAACTCCAAAAACTTGTATAGAAGTTTCTTGTCTGCTAACAAAGTTTGTATGTTCAGTCGGGATGACCATAAACTGTATAGTTACTGATATCTTAGTCCTGCTTGATCACCATCTAATCACCAAACCATGCATTGCTCCTAAGATGCTGTTCCAGCAAATAAGTTTCAATGAACAGTAAAAAAACAGTCTTTACAGTCAGTAGAAGCTGTTATCTCTTGGCTCTCGACAACTCCAACAGTTACTGTAACTAACGTAAAGATTACCAAAGAGTTTTGAATAATACGCTTTTTGTTCATATTTGATGAATATGTCTATCAAAATTCACCATTCCAGTCTGCTTAATGCAAATCATACTGCAAGCTAATCAGATAAATTATCTTTGGATTTGCATAGTGTATTTTGATCAACTTGCACACACATTGTAAGGTGCTGTTCACACAGAGCTTGAGTCCGTTTGCTAGTCTTTCCCATGGTGGCTAATGCTGCACAACACTGCTAATCTATTCGTGGACTGAGACTAAAACACCTCAGTAAGAGAGAAGAAAATGATTAAGGACTAAATCGTGTTAGTTCGTCTCTAAACAACTCCCGTGATCCGCTGCAAAAAGAGATCGCTAAGTGTCTTTGCGTTAGCTTGCCGCTATTGAATTAGCTGTTATTTTGAACTGAGAGGACACTCAGACAGCCAGACGATTTTGAGTGACACGCTTATGTTTTACATTAACAGAGTTTTCTCTGTGTTACAGGATGAGAATAAGAAGGCATAAAGTCTTCCTGTTGTGCTTACTGGGGATTTGTGTCATTTCCTTCCTACATTACTACAAAGCCCTGCACAATATTTCACTGCTGCAGGAGCTCTCCGCTCCTTCCACCCATCTAAAGTCTCTGAAGATGTTCAGTGATATCTTCTGGAATTTTCCGGCTGCTGACTTCCACCCCCAGCAAGACTTTCACAAACACAGCCACCTGAAGGTAGAGTCAAAAGGGAGGTCTAAGGGTTTCAGTCTGAACTCTTAGCCTGTTACCTGACCTGAAAACTCATTGGGTTTTGGGCCTGGTTTTAATGTGTCACTTAGGGTCTGTGTTGAGTTTTAAATGTAACGTGTTTTACACAGAAACCAAGCAATTTTGTCTTAGGCCTTAAAATTGGACTATACCGGTTGGGTCATGTAGTCTTGTTTACAGACTTTAACAAGCTATATATATGCTATATATATCTTGGGCATAAGCTGAAGTCTGTAAACAAGACCATGTGACCCAACCAGTTTGATTAACCCTTAAATGCATACCTCGGGTCTTTAGCGACCCGGTACATCATTCTCTACCCTCTCCCTCCTTCATTTTTTAAAGTTTGACATCAACTTTATTAGTATTCCTCAAACTATTCATTATAAACATAGAAAAAAATATAAAATATAAAAGAATGCCTGTTTTCTGATCAATTTTTTGTAAAAAGTGTATAGGGTCGCTAGAGACCCGAGGTATGTAAATGTGTAAGTATTTTTTTCTGCGCAACTATATGTGACCCGGGACCACAAAACCAGTCTTAAGTGTCCATTTTTCAAAATTGAGATTTATACATCATCTGAAAGCTGAATAAATAAGCTTTCCATTTATGTGTGGTTTGTTAGGATAGGACAGGGGTAGGCAAGTTCGGTCCTAGAAAGCCGCAGTCCTGCAGAGTTCAGCTCCAACCCTAATCAAACACACCTGAACAAGCTAATCAATGTCTTCAGGATTACTAAGGCTATATAGGCAGGTGAGGTTTTTTTTCAGGGTTGGAGCTGAACTCTGCCGGACTGCGGCTCTCTAGGACTGAACTTGCCTACCCCTGGGATAGGACAATATTTGGTCGAGATACAACTATTTGAAAATCTGGAGTCTGAGGATGCAAAAAAATCAAAATATTGAGAAAATCGCCTTTAATGTTATCCAAATGAAGTCCTTAGCAGTGCATATTACTAATCAAAAATTAAGTTTTGATATATTTACGGTAGGAAATTTACAAAATATCTTCATGGAACATGGAATTCATGGAATCTTTACTTAATATCCTAATGATAGGATATCATTAGGCGCGATGGCGATGGCGCCGACGCTGATGGCTGCCTCCGTGGCATGCTCCGCAGTTGTTTTTGTTAGTTTGTCCTGTCTTTAGTTATATCCCTGCAATCAGTTTCACCAGAGACGAATTGCTGGACATTCGGAAGTACACACCACCCGATATTTCACCGGTTTTCGTATAAATTGACAATTGTATGTGCAGGTATATTACAATAGACAGTTTTGTATGTACAGGTATATTATGTGCACATTTGAGGTGTAGACTAAGTGTGTGTGTTAGATAAATAAGTGTATGAGTGTATAAATAGTGTGTGTTCCACAGTTATTGTTAAGTGTTCATGAGATGGAAAGAGAAGAACGGGGAGAGAAAAGCAGCCCTATTTTGCAGCATCTCTCCAGCAGATGGGGGATATAAAGTGTTGTAGTTATGGACTGAGATTTGTGACGGATGCATCTTTAATACCCGATCCCCATTTCCAGGCTACACAAACCCTGTAATGGCACTAAAACACCTCTTAGATGACAAGAAACTCTCAAACACATTTGTACATGGGAAATCATGAGCGGACACTTCCCACAGGGGTGAAAATGGACCACAGTCAGGGGGGCTCTGACACTTTGGAGTGTAAAAAAGTTAGTCTTTTTCTATTTCTTTTCTTGGAATTCGTGGACCTGTAACATATTCTGAATAAAGAGTGGGAAGAAACAGGCACACATGTGAGTATGATTGGTGAGATACGGAACAATTCAGTGGTTTTCAACTGGTGGGTCACAACCAAAGAGTGAAACACGAGTCTGTTCATTCGTGAAGAGAAGGAAAAACATCAAAGTGCAAAATCTTCGTTTGTGTTCTACTGAAGAAACAAAGTCACCTACATCTTGGATGCCCTGGGGGTAAGCAAATAAACATCAAATTTTCATTTTTGGGTGAACTCCCTTTAAGACTGCTTTTGTGCTCCAGGGTCACATATTTACTTATCTGATGACTCAATACGTGCAATGCATCTTTTTTCCTCAAGTTGGCACTGTTTGATACACAATGATGACGTGATGTTTCACTCATAATTACCGCAGGCATAAAAACAAGTGAATATCATCAGCTAAAATTTAACTGGTTTGAATGGCTTTATTGCTTTTCTATAGTACTAAGCCTCAAATGTCATATATACATTGGTTTGGTTTCTTCTTTAAATAATAAAAAAAATTTAAAAATATGCCTGGTATTATAATGTTATATTAAATCTAAAATTAAAACAATGGAAAAACTCTTACGATAACCCATAGAAAGAAACAAACACATCCTAAGCATGCAGAATAACATAAGTGGACTTTAAAAGATTCATTGCCGATCAAATTGAACCCTTTTAAGTTTCAAAAGGTAACAAAATATGCTTTATTCTATTCTTCCGTAATTGTTCTTAAAATATCAGAGTTTTTTTGCTATTGCAGCCGTTAGAGATCCATCCGTGCTGGATATATAAGTCCGGGTCGCTAAAGACCCGAATATGTAAAAATGATTGGCAGAACATTCATGCATTTAAGGGTTAAAAAAAATGCTTAACAATACATTTTTGCACACTTACAGAATAAAGCTCACTTGGGACAGTGCTAAAAATGATAAATACAAATGAATTGAACATTTTTACTTCAGGTCTATACATTTAAGTTTACAACATTTGAAACTTATACCACGCTTAATATTTGTGTTTATATTTGTTTGTTTGTTTAAAGGGAATCGTCATATTTTAGATTTGGGTGTCCCAGTAAATGACAGAATAACTAATAATATAAAGTGTCATAGCTAATACAAAAATGTAACTTTTTCATACCATAGATGTATGAAACTGTATTTATAATGATCTTCTTTTCCTCCAAACAGGTCAGTGTTGACTCAAATGTGATCCTGCCAGATCCTCCAGATGGGAAAATTCATGAACGTACTTTTGTACTCCGTGATGATCCCACAGCCTTTTTCATCCACACCAAATCCGGAGCAGTGTGCTTCAGAGAGGGGACGGATATGACCGCCTCTGCATCTCACCGCAGGTTACTGCAACATCGCCGAAAAATCAGCCCCAAAGATGAAGCAATCAACGCAGACAAGAAGGTGCTTCAGTGTCCCTGCCGGCAGGGTTGGCACGGCCCTCACTGTGGCATCCCTACCATTGTGTATCATTCCAATCTCCCGTCCAAGTCAAAAGTAACACCCAGAAAAGTTCCACGTCGGGTCATCAATGCCATCAACATCAACCACGAGTTTGACCTACTACACGCTCGATTCCACGAACTTGGAGATGTCGTGGATGTGTTTTTGGTCTGCGAATCCAATTTCACTGCATACGGTGACTCAAGACCTCTTTTATTCCGGCAGCTGATCCTAAACGGAACGTTTGACTACATAAAGCACAAAATCCTGTACGTCTTCCTGGACCATTTTCCTGATGGCGGTCACGCAGACGGCTGGATCGCGGATGATTACCTCCGCACGTATTTAACCAAAAACGGAATGTCGAGGCTTGAGGGCTTCAAAGCGGACGATGTTTTCGTCATCAATGATGCGGATGAAATTCCTGCTCGAGGTGGAATCCTTTTCCTCAAGCTCTATGACGGCTGGACGGAACCGGTCGGGATCCACATGCGCAAATCCCTATACGGATTCTACTGGAGGCAGTTTGGAACGCTGGACGTTTTATCTGCTTGCACGGCAGCTATGCTCTTTAAGGTTTACAAGGGTGATGGCATTTATCTCCGGCGCCGGTCGTATTATTCCATGTCGGGATTCCGGGAATACGAGAACTCCACGGGACGCATTCTGGTGCCGTGGGCCATCGGAAGCCCAATTCACTATGCTGGATGGCACTGTTCTTGGTGTTTTAAACCAGAAGGAATTTATTATAAACTCATATCGGCCCAAAATGGAGACTTCCCACGTTGGGGCAATTACCGCGAGAAACGGAAGATGAGTTATATTAAAGAGTTAATACGGACAGGGGGTTGGTTTGATGGGTCTGCTCCAGACTACCCACCCTCAGACCCCAAAGAGCATATGTATGCTCCCAAATACCTGCTGGACAACTATGAAAAATATCGCTACTTGCTTGAGAACCCATATGCAACAGAGAAACATTAAGAGGAATGGGTCGGTTTCAAATGGGCTGCTGAATAAGCTGAAGCGAGAAGTGAAACTGAATGATAGTAAGGAGTTTCACAGCCTTTTGTGGTTCGTGATTCAGTTTTCAAGTTCCACAATTGTTATGAATTCCCACCACATCACAGACGGACCATAATAACAAAAGAATACCAACATGTTTTACTATTTATCCAGATTTGTTGCTTTAGACTCTCTATCAAGAACTATAGCAAGTGATTTAGCCACTTCATGGCTATAAAATTATGTTTTTATGGTTTAAAAACAGTTACAATTAATGAGATTATTCTCCATGCGCACCATCTGGTGACACCAAGATGCCTACCCAACGTGGTTTTACTCAAGTTTCTATGAAAAGATCTCCAAACGTAATCATAGTAATGTATGAAAATAATTGCACTTAAATGGACTTGATTTGATATGACGTTTATTTATAGAAATGTTTACTCCATATGAATGCTATGCACTAAATTGGCTTAAACCACTATGATGGTCGGCGCCGATAGCCTCGTGGGCAGCGAGGTATAGCGCCGTTGCGCTGCGGGCGTCCCGAGTTCGAATCCCAGCTCATAGACCTTTAGCGATCCCACCACCCCCCCTCTCTCTCCCACTTTGCTTTCTGTCGTCACACTGTCCTATCTAAAATAAAGGCAAAATCGTCAAAAAGCATATCTTGTAAAAAAAAAAAAAACATAATGGTTTCTGTATTTATAAAGGAGATCTACAGAGAGTATTACAGTCATATCGGGATTAATGCATTATTTGCATTGAAGTGTTGATATAAAAATCTGTTATTTGCTGGTGCAACGATCTTAAAAGTTTCAAAGGTCTGATAAGTTGACTAAAACAAAACAAAAAAACGATGTGCATAAATTACTGTTGCATCACATAGTGAACATAGTTTACTGAACTATGATGGCCTGTCGAAGCCTCTAAAGGTTTAAGATATGCTATCTTACAATTACAAACAGGATACAGGTATACTTTAGGATTTTATGATTTTTCATCTACACTGGAAGAATGTATATTTTAAATGTCTATTTCACCCAGTAAAAATAAACAAGGTAAAATATAATAATAATATTTAAATAATATTAAAAAATACAACAATAATATGTGGCCCTGGACCACAAAACCAGTCATAAGGGTCAATTTTTCAAAATTGATTGATTTATACATCTCCTGAAAGCTGAATAAATAAGCTTTCCATTGATGTATGGTTTGTTATGATAGGACAATATTTGGCCGAGATACAACTATTTGAAAATCTGGAATCTGAGGATGCAAAAAAATCAAAATATTGAGAAAATCGCCTTTAAAGTTGTCCAAATTAAGTTCTTAGCAATGCATGTTACTAATCAAAAATTAAGTTTTAATATATTTACAGTAGGAAATTTACAAAATATCTTCATGGAACATGATCTTTACTTAATATCCTAATGATTTTTGGCATAAAAGAAAAATCAATCATTTTGACCCATACAATGTATTTTTGGCTATTGCTACAAATATACCCCAGCGACTTGAGACTGGTTTTGTGCTCCAGGGTCACATATAATAATATACTAAATAATATGTAAAAAAACGTGTTATCTTACAACATTTTGCAAATAAAATGGTATTGTTTTATTGATGTTTATACAATTTATACAAGATGATAAAAAAAATCTAAATCAGTATTGTTAATATTTGAATGATTTTTACACTGTAAAGGACAATGATATTGCAGCTGTAATTTCACTTTTTCATAGTTTACTGAACTATGATGGCCTGTCGAAGCCTCTAAAGGTTTAAGATTTTGCTGATGACTTGTGTTTCGAAGCTTTATGGTCAGTCACGCTCTGTGTGCTTGGATAAGGATACGTTAAGCATTAGCCATCAGTATCCCTGATGTGGGTCTTTAACATTTGCTTTGAAACCGGATATCCTTTCAGGAACTGAGTTAGCAAGGGCCTGGTCATGTGTCAGCAAAGTTAGCGGCAACAGGAAAGAAATTATACGATAACAAACCTAAATAGCCAAAGACGAATATGGGAAGGTTTATAAAGTGGGGCTTTCAAACCTCGGAGTTTATAATTAAAAGGACAGTTCACCCAAAAAGGAAATTTGTCATCATTTACTCAGCCTCATGTCATTCCAATCCTGTATGACTTCCACAGGATGGACAGAAAATACAACAGAAGTCATTTGGTTACCAAATGATGATAAAGGATAAGGTTTACCCAATGAGGTGTTACTCATATTTCATTACTAAAAGATCACCATGCTGTACATTGATTATCATAGTAATGTATGAAAGCATTCAAAACAAATAGCACTTAAATTGACTCAATATTTTGATTTGAAGTTTATTCATATGAATATTTATTTCATATGAATGCTGTGCAAGTAACAGTTTCTGTGTTCACAAAGGAAATCTGCAGAGTAATTACAGTCATACCGGTACTGCTGCCTCATTTGCATTAGTGCATTATTTGCATTCATGCTTTGAAAAGAAAACCTGATATTAGCGCGAGTTAACCAATTGAAAGAATTTGAGGAAGAACTGATGACAGAATTGTCATTTTTGTTGACCTATCGTGCATGAATATGTCATCTTTTAACGTTCACTTTGTCAGTTAAAACGTTATTGACAAAAAAAAAGTTTTGATTTGGTGTTAACTTTAATTTTGGCCTAATCCATAAAACTTTCCTCTGTGCCATTTTAATTTTAACTTCTGTTAACCTCCCTCTGTGAAAGAAATCCACAAACTGGATTTTTCCATAAACCCATAATCCATAAACTTCTCATTTATTGAACTTTTGTATTTAAAAAAAAAAAAACTGAATCTGTTGCACTAAATTGTCCCGGCTGTGATATTATAGCATCAGCACTCTTGCTCATGTCATCCTGCTTTGTTTTTGCGTCTATCTCAGGTAGAAAGCTTGCCAAGTTGACAGGGTTTAGTAATAATGCTGGATTGTCCCACGAGTCAGTCAGAAGGTGGGTGGTAGGCCGAGAACCGAAATCAAATCTGAGCTACTTTGTCTTTTTCCCCTTCCTACATGGGAGAGATGCAACCTTGTATAACCTGCTCAGATGCTGCAATATGAGAGAGACTTTTGCCAGTATTTACGGAGACCAAAGAGCGCAAAGTTGTTTTTCTCAGATCTGTACACTCGGAATGCATTGTTAAAGGAATAGTTCACTCAAAAATTTAAATATACTAGATTTGCGTCACCAATGGCTCCTCTGCAGTGAATGGGTGCTGTCAGAATGAGAGTTCAAACAGCTGATAAAAACATCACACAACTCCAGTCCATCAGTTAACGTCTTGTGAAATGAAAAGCTGCATGTTTATAAAAAAACAAATCCATCGTTTTGACATTTTTAACTTCAAACCGATGCTTCTGGCCAAAATATGAGTCCACAACAACATTCCCATTCCCTGTTGTCCTCTCGCATCAAAAATCCACTGACATATTTGTTTAGAACTGTTTTCACTTGTAAACTGTACTTGATCTATGCATATTTCTCTAAGACAACTTTTTCACTGGAGAAAAAGAGAATGGATAGAGGACTTGTATATTTTGACCAGAAGCAATGGTTTGAAGTTAAAAATGCCTCAATGTTGTTTAGTTTTTTTCTTGCAAACATGCAGCTTTCACTTCACAAGACATTAACTGATGGACTGATGGTTGTGTGGATTTTTTTGTGGATTACTGTGATGTTTTTATCAGCTGTTTGGACTCTGACGGCACCCATTCACTGCAGAGGATCCACTGATGAGCAAGTGGTGCAATGCTAAATTTACCCAAATCTTTTTTTCCGATGAAGAAACAAACTCATCTACATCTTGGATGACCTGAGGGTAAGCAAATTTGTATTTTTAGCTAACCTATATCTATAATTGATGTTGCTTATTTACATAAAGTTATGCGCATTGGACAATAGACAAACTTGCATATCAGCATGAAAAGTGATATTTTGAAAGATGGTTATTGCTTTTTTTTTTTTTTTTTTGCATGTCTTGTTTTGTTTCTTTGTGAAAATTTTTGTGAAACATCTCCTTTTATTCTAAATATGATAGAATTGTCAACTGTTCCTTTTCCATGGTGTCATCTGATCTTTGAGGTGACAGGGACCCTGCAGAGAAAATCAACTTGATGTTTACATGAGATGTGAGAAATATGCACTTGGGCCAACATGTTAAACTATTGCACTTCCTTTAGAGAAACTAGAAGCCATAATCTGTACAGTAGAATAATGATCAGCAAATGGTTGTTTTACTGTCCAACACATCAAATAGGGCAGTTTTTTTTCAGATATTCATCAGTCAGCACACTGGATTTTACGCAACTGCAGTCACTGTCTTTTCGTTGTTTAATGATTGCTGTGCAATTACTGACATTTCAGATTGTGTTTATTGAACTAATGTGAATGAGATTGTATTTTTCATGTCTGTTTTTTTGTGTTTGGGGTTGCACAGGACTGTTGTAAAAATGTGAATAATTTTACTCAATGTTGATTATTCTTTTATGTAAAATTTGTTTCAGAGAAATGTATAGTTGCTTTTTCATGTCAATCACAAATGATACATGTAGAAACAAATTTTTGGATGAATTTGTATTTATTGGGAGAAATAAAATCAGATTTTTGTTCTTTCTAAGTCATCTTTTCTATATAAAAGACCGATATGATTATTTAATCTGGTATTATTGTGATTATAATAAAATGCATTTTTCCTCTCACCACTAGAGGGTGTTAGAACACAAGCTCTCTATCCGATAAAAAATTTGAGCTCAGTGGCAGATATCACACTGAACAAGTAGTTCTCTCAAAAATAAAAATGTGGTCTGAATATTTTACCCATATTATAGGTTAAACATAAAATTCTAAGAAGAATTTTTACATTTTTAAAGTAGATCCATAACACCATCCATAAAGATCCTGCATTGGATCGAGGATTGAGATTGAAGCCTATTATTTTTTACAGACAAAGAAAATGTTTTTTGGAATGTGTTGAGATTGAAACATCCATCTGCAGCAATGCACGTTATATTTTCAATTCACAGTTTTCAATGATAAGGAAAGGGCAAGAAAATATCGATTGCATTCATCAATAATTCAAAAGGACATCAGTGAAAACAAACCTTTATTGTGGCATTTAACATAATCAAAGAAATGCTAGACATCCTTACTGTACTTTAACATTAAGCACCATTGAGTTATTCATATACAAACAAAAACCTTTTAAAATGATGGTCAAGTATGTAATTTATAGCACCTGATGTGTTCAAATAAAAAATAATTTTTAGCACCTCATTCTTTGGTAACAATGCAACCAGATGTGTGTTTTTTATCCTCAGCACCATTTCTTTACTTGTTAATATTTTAAAATCTTTACGTTCCTGAGATCCGGTTTCTGCAGTCCAGACTGAAGTGGTTTTAAGATTAAAAAAAACAACTGCCAGCTTTTATTGAAGACTATTGAAGTCACTGATTGGGGCAGAGATCGGTGCCTTGTGGTTTCAGAACATTTAATCTCGCTCTCCCTCTCTATATTTCTATCATGTGAGTCTCTCTCAAGTGGATTCTTGCTACTGAAAAAGGAAAGCCACATACATCCTGTTGAACAGCAACAAAAAGCCCCCCTCCCCTCAATAAACAGAGCCAGACACAACCACACACACTCAAAGCAGATTCTCAGGACCTGACCCATCTAAAACCAACAAATGGCTGATTCGTAAGCCAGATATAATAATAATTACCATTTAAAAGTTTGATGTCAATAGGACTTTTTTTAAGGAAATTAACACTTTGATTCAGCAAGGATGCTTTAAAATGATCAAAAGTGACACTAAAGACATTAGAATGATTTCTGAAGGATCACGTGGCACTGAAGACTGGAATTCTGCATCACGGGAAAAATTACATTTTAAAATATATAATAATAGAAAACAGTTATTTAAAACTGTACAAATATTTCACAACATTACTTTTACTGCATTTTGGATCAAATAAATGCAGCCTTAGCAAGCATATGCTTCAATGTGAACT